TGGTAGAGTAATTGGTAGATTTTTCTTTAATGATGTCAAAAAGTTGTGTTTAGACTAAAATCAAAATTGAAGACTGTTGTTGTTGTTAGATGGAAGTGAATGCAGCTTTGGGCATGCCTCTCTGGGAAGCCAGGTTTCCCAGAGTTTTCTCTTCCTTTGGTCTAGGTCATTTCCTAAATCCAGGAAGAAATCTGCTCACATCCTGTGCAGGTGGTGTGAATGGGGTTCCCCTTGGTGGAATAGGCTGGCTGAGAAATAAAAGCTAGGAAAAATAGAACAATGAAAAAAAATCACAGGACACAGAAAATAATTTCAAAAATCAGGGGTGGGACAGGCAAGCCGATCATAGGGATTGAGCTTCTATGCTCTGGCAAGATGGAGCCCACACCTGCTTTATTTATATCAGAGGACATCAAAGGCCTTCCATAGAATGTTCTTCTCTAAGAAAGGTTAAAGGTGGGCTGTCCAGTTCCCAACAGGTTATGCCCATCTCTGGAGTGACCATGAGAGATCTTCCTAGTATAGCGAAGATAAAGGTCATGTGCCTTGGGCAATCTATTGTGTGGGAGAGCCACAGATAGTTCCCAAGGTTGAACCTCAGATCTCCTTGGCTTCATGCCAAGAGAAGATCTTCATGTGTTTTTCACAGATGGTTCCCTGCAGAAATCAGTACTTTTTTTTGTTTTGTTTTTGGTACTAGGGATTGAATTTAGGGGCACTTAACCACTGAGCCACATCCCCAGTCCTTCTTTGTATTTCATTTAGAGACAGGGTCTCACTGAGTTGCTTAGTGCCTTGCTAAATTGCTGAGGCTGGCTTTGAACTTGCAATCCTCCTGCCTTAGCCTCCTGAGCCACTGGGATTACTGGGGTGCACCACTGGGTACATTTTGCTGATTGATTGGGAGTTGTACCTGAGAGCTGCCAATAAATAGCTGTATGACTTTGGGCTGCTCTCTCTGGGCTTTCGTTGTCCTTTCTGTGAAATAAAAGAATTAAGATCAATCATCCCTTAAGTCCCTCCCATTTTTTTTTCATTTGTTTTTTACAGTACTAGGAATTGAACCCAAGGCCTCACGCCTGCTAGGCACGCACTCTACCACTGAGTTATAGCCCCAGCCCTGAGCCTGTGTATATGTGTTTATGCACTGAACAATAGAGTCAGAATGAGCTCCCCCACCCAGTAGCCCCAGCCACAATACTGGATCTGTGGTATACACCTAGTCCTCCTATTTTTTGCATTCTCTGTTATCTTCATCACTATCCTCACCATCATTGATATATAAAATTAATAAATGGAGTCCATTGTGATGGTGCACTCTATAATCCCAGCAACTTTGAGGTTGAGGTTGAGGCAGGAGGATTGAGAGTTCAAAGTCAGCCTCAGCAATTTTTGAGTCATTTAGCAACTCAGTGAGACTTGTCTCTAAATAAAATATTTAAAAGGGCTGGCTTCGTGGTTAAGCACCCCTGGGTTCAATCCCTACACCAAAAATAAATAAATAAATAAAATGCCTAGTGGTGCATATCTGTAAGATCAGTTACTTAGGAGCCTGAGGCAGGAGGTTCACAAATTCAAGGGTAGCCTCAGCAATTTAGTGAGGCCTTAAGCAACTCAGTGAGACGGTTTCAAAATTAAAAAAAAAAAAAAAGGGCTGAGACGTAGTTCAGTGGTTAGGCACTCCTGGATTCCATTCCTGGTACCAAAAAAAATTTTTTTAAATATTTTATTTTTTAGTTGCAATTGGACACAATACCTTTATTTTATATATTTATTTTTATGTGGTGCTGAGTATCGAATCCAGGGTCTCGCACGTGCGAGGACAGCACTCTACCGCTGAGCCACAACCCCAGCCCTCCAAAAATTTTTAAATATTTATTTTTTAGTTTTTGGCGGACACAACATCTTTGTTTTTTTTTAATTTATTTTTTATTTTTTTGCAACACTGGGGACTGAACCCAGGACCTTGCACATGCCAGTCAAGTGATGACCACTGAGACATGTCCCCTCCCCTAAGTATGGCTAGTCTAGATAAGTCAAACCTATATATATATATATATATATATATATATATATATATATATATATTTTTTTTTTTTAAGAGAGAGAGAGAGAGAATTTTTTTAATGTTTATTTTTCAGTTTTCGGCAGACACAACATCTTTGTTTGTATGTGGTGCTGAGGATCGAACCCGGGCCGCACGCATGCCAGGTGAGCGCGCTACCGCTTGAGCCACATCCCCAGCCCCTCCAAAAATTTTTAAACTTAAAAAGTATAGTAGGCATATAGTTTAGTGATACAGCACTTGCCTATCATACACAAGGTCCTAGGTTTAATCCTCACTATCAAAATCAATCAATCAATCAATGGAATGCCTATTATACACAAGTCATTGCAAATCACTTTAAATGTATTATTTTATTCATTCATTTCAACAGTGTTACTATTCTCATTTTACAGATAAGGGAAATACAGCTTAGAAAGGCCCTATATCACTCTGTTGAGGAGAGAATCCAGTCTGTCTGACTCCAGGAATTTAGTCTATTAAATGCGTGCACCAAAAAAAAATTTAAAAAGAAAAAAAAAATGTGTGCACCACTGCCTAGAAATCATGGGCTGCTGGATCTTGCAGGGTCAAGTTGATCTCTGATGGAGATCCAGTCTGTAAGGTTGTCAGACCAAGTCCCTAGAACATAAGACCAGAGCTGGATGGTAAATAGCCTGATTACCTGAAATTACCCTGGCTTCAGGATGCAGCTAGGTTTCCCAGGAATGTTTCTCACTTGGCCTGACCACCTTACTTCTCACTCACACTTATCTGCTGGCTGTCCTGTTTTGCTAGAATATGACTGAGTTGTTATGCTTTGTGATTTGTTTCAGTCTGCAGCAAGGGTGGACTGTATCAGCCCTGCTATGCTACCTTATCCACACCTCTTATGCTAGATAACTTGCCTTTTCCTATTGAATACCAACAATGCAGGGCAGCATAAAGCAAGCTAGGCTTTGTCACACACCCATATAAGATTTGGCAAGGTCAAGGCCTAACTGATTCAGCTGGTAAAGACAAAACAAGTCACTTTTAGATCCAGTTTGTTACTTACATATACAGCAAGATGAAGAATGCACAATGGTACCAGCTCCCTGAGGTTCTTGTCCTATACACCAAAAAATAAACAATGCTGAAACAAAAGAGGCCAGATGACTGTAATGTGAGTTGTGGGATACCCCATAAGTGAACAATCAATTCTAGATTGCTGCTAAGTGGTTTTTATATTCTGCAGCACTACTGAGGAGAGGAGAACAGAAAGTCACAGATTTCTCAGAAACTGCAAGGAGACGAGAAGTGTTTTGTGACAGCCTCCATGCTAGTGGGACATGTAAAGCTGTCACCTACAGCTTTCTCAGAGTTTGAGAAATTGTTTATTTTTGTGCTACAGATTGAACTCAGGGTGTCACATATACTAAGTGCACTACCACTGAACTACACTACCAGGTCATTTGAGGGTTTTTAAACCGACCATAGAACAAATGAGACTGAAAACTAAGAAATCTAAATTCAAATCTAGATGAGTTCATAATTAGCCATATGACTTAAGCAAGTCTTTTACCTCTTTGGGGCTCTTTTTTGAATCCACGAAGTCACATATTGTTTGCTTTTCAGGGGAGGGAGATCATATCTCTTTTTAGTAGCATGTAAACTGCACAGAAACAGGGATTTTGTCCGTTTTGTTCACTACTTGTAGCCTCATCACTTAGAACGGTGAAAGTACATGATAGAGATTTAATAAACATATATTGGATGAACAAATTTCATTGTATTTTGTTAGTATGTGTGTGTGCATTTAAAGCCTTAAAATCTGCTCTGTGGTCACAGTGAAAATTTATAAGGGATACCTAGAGAAAATAACTGCCCTTTCTTTTAGGGAGCTTAAAGAAAGCTAAGTGAAGGCTTGATTAACCTCAGAGTGAATACTTATATACTATAGAGTGGAACAGGTGCTCAAATGGATCTTTTATTAGTGCTATTACAATAAATCCTCATGGCATACCACTATAACACAAAGTTCTTTGTAGTTATAGAAAATAGGAGAGGCCCAGTTTTCCCACTGTTTCATTCTGTATCTACTATTTTTCTAGTCATCTCTTTAGGCTTCCTTTTTCTCGTTCTCTTAGCCAATGTATAGTGTAGACAAAGAAATTGTGGATTAAGGAATGTTGCTTTTTTTTTGGTACTGGAGATTGAACCCAGGGGCCCTTAACCACTGAGCCACATCCCCAGCCCTTTTTCATATTTTATTTTGAGACAGGTTCTCCCTGAGTTGCTTATGGCCTTGCTAACTTACTGAGGCTGGCTTTGAACACCCAATCTTCCTTGCTTTAGCCTCCCAAGCCTCTGGGATTACAGGCGTGTGCCACCGTGCCCGGCTTCGTTTTTATGTGTTAGTGTGATAATTTTCTTTAATTGCAATTAAGATATGTGCGTTATATCCCTTTTACAGACAGATAAAGGAACCATGGCCCAGAGATTGACCTACTGGAGTTCACTAATATTAGGACCAAATTTTCTGAATTCAAGTTCAGGCTGCCACAACTATGTGGCACTCATGTCTCCATCGCCTTAGTCTCTTCTCCTGTCATCTCCATGAAGGGGCAGAGATTTTTGCTGGGTTTGCTTCCTCATCCAATCCCAGCCTCTACAACTTTGCCTGATACAAGGACAGGGATTTTTGTCTACCCAATATGTTTGAGTGAAAAGAACGAATGGTTAAGAGGTTCGTCATAAAAGCAAGTCGCTGCCCCTTTTGGATTTCATCTCTGCTCTCCCTGACTTCCCGCGCCTCCATTGCTCCTCCGGCCCCTAGACGGCACTGTGGTGAGAATCCCACCATCTTGGGAGCAGTGTCCTTCTTCGTCAGGCCGCGCCTCCCCAAGTCGGAGGTCGGGTCTCGAGGAACCGGAAGTGCTGGGGCTGCTGCCGCCGCCTTTTAGTACCGTGTCCGCTGCCCCTAAGTATCGCGTCCTCCGCTTTTAAGTGCCGCGTCCGCCGTCGGGGTTGCAACCGGCGCCGCCGCCGAGGAAGCTGCTGTAGCCCGGCCCGGAGTGGAGGCGGCGCGGCATGAAGCGGCGCAGGCCCGCTCCGTAGCGCGCGCGCGTCAGGACGGTCCGGGCGGGGCCGGGGGGGAAGGTGCAGTATCCGCCCCCTTCTCCTTCCCCTTCGCCCGCGAGGCCTGGGCCTCTGCCCACGGGCCCTGTCCGCCTCGCCGAGGAGCTGCCCGCGCGGGGTTGAGCCGGTGGCGGGGCCCCATTTGCCGGAAGAGGAAGCCGAGACTCAGATTCCGAGTCAGCCAACGTTCACCAGGCGCCCCTGAGCGCTGGGTGCTGCCCTCCGGACTTCCACGTCCGTTATCTTAATTAAGCCTCTCTGGGGTTGGGAGGCCGGGTACTGTCTGTGCTCACAGATAAGGAAACGGAAGCTCACAGAGGCGAAGGGATTTGCCTAAAGTCCGACTGTGGCAGATGGGCTTGGGACCCAGATTTTCTGGTTTCCCAGCTGGTGTTCTTTTTTCCCTACTGCTTCACTCTAGGTCGGTTTTTGTTCCAACCACCCGCTTCAGGATACTGTCCTGTCCAACTTCCTTACACTTTTTCTTAACACTTTTTATCCTTCCAGCCCCTCTTTTCAGCATCTGTACTTCTCCTCATTTTCCTATTCGTTGCTTTCAAGATTTTGGCCCCTTCTGTAATTATGATTTTTTCGAGTAGCCGTGGACCCTGAAGAGTGAAATATCTAGGCTTCGGTGAGCCGCGGCATGTTGAAATGGGCGACTGTTTGTGGAATGCCATTTGAATGGGTCCAAACTCTAGAGCCCTTTAGTTGTTCTCTAACTCAACACCCTTATTTGAATGGGGGTGGGGGTTTAGTGCTATGGGGAGGTGTCTTGACATCCTGTTGTTGCTGTGCTAGCATAACTTTTTCTCCACTTGCCACTTTTCTCACCACCTCTCTCATCTTCACCTACTTGAGCTATGGGAGCCCAGAATTAAAACTGTTAACAAAGTATCATTTGTAATCATAGATTTTTTTTTTCAACAAGCATAATGATTCTTTTTCCAGAAAAGTTGCCCATTTCAATTATTCTCAATCTTGTGGTAAGGAAAAGAAAAATGGACTGCACTTTAAATGAGTAGGACATTCTTTATCTTATGGAAAATCTTAAATTAGTAAATTCAAGTTAGTTCCCTTTCTGCAAAAAAAAAAGTGGCCTATAGTTCTTCCTATTCATCCTACTGAATTGATTTTTGTCTCTAACCATGACATTGTTAGATAAAAGAGGCACAGGAATAGGCAAATAGAAATTTTATATCTGTCATTTTTGAGGCTTTGTAATAGAAACCTCATATTATTATTATTATTATTATTATTATTATTTTTGGACTAGGCTGGGGATCCACCTCAGGGCAAAAGCTCTACCACTGATCTATTCTGCCAGCCAGTAACTTCACATCTGCATACCCTCTAGCTTTTTTAGCTCTTCCATAATTCCCTTTAATGTATGTCTGAACATCAAGGTTTACACTACTGTTAGGATATTCTTTTGAGTAAATTGGGCTATACCATATCGGAAAATAATTTAGGATTTTGATAATTGCAGACAAAGTAATTTGGGCATATATTACATCAAAAAGTTCTCAGTTTTAAGTGCTATTTTGGAACTTTTTATACTTAATCTTTTTTTGACTACATATGGTCTGTTTTAATAATGACCAAGAGTCTTATATTATCCTGGTGAGCAGGATTGGATGGTGAGAAAAGGAAAGAGTCCTCTGAGAAGAGAGCAGGATAAGTGCGGGGATCTGTGCTTGAAGTTGGGGCACTTGAAAATGATCTCTGAATGTGGAAGAGATCTGAGCAGATGAAAATACAATCAGATAGGCACCAGGGAAGGTCCATAAGTAAAGAGGTAGGTGGGGAAATGAAAAGTATGCACTTTGTAGAGACTATGCTGACTTTATTTTAGAAACTTCAGGCCACACATTTTGAGAATGTAATTCTATACAAGGTATTAGGGAGTTCTGGAAGTTAAATCAATTATAAACATTTGTGTAAATGGCTACCATAATGCCAGGTCTGTCCTAGAAAGGGTGGAATAAACATTGGCTGTAAATATACAGAGTGGCAGAATGTCATTTGAATTCTACAGTGTGCACATGTGTGTATGTATGTATGTATATATAGAGAAACAGTCTAGGGAGCTAGTACAATTCAGAAATATACCTGATGATTTTAACTTATATATAAGCTGATGCATCTTTTACATAATGACCCAAGAAACTGAGCAATAAGGCTTGAGAAGTTTTACTATTAAGATTCTCTGTTCTATTCCTAGCCCTATACTTGCAAGCAGTGTTTTGAAGACCAAATTCTAAATTTAACACATGTGAAATGAGCAAAATTTGTGTAGATTCTCTCACTTGTTCCTCATTCCATTAGATATAAAACTAGATTCATTGACACATTTGGTAGAAATAGGCCTCCACTAGCTTTTAGATGGTCAAACAACCATCATTGTTATAATCTACCTCACAAATATCAGTGTGTTACATACCAGTTGAGCTAACTGACTTAATTCTCAGCTGGGCTGTTTTTGTATTTTAATTGTTGGATATGAATGCCTAGTTGTAATAATATTATAAATATACCTGATGTAACAAATGAGTTTTCTGTCTACTTTTGCTATTGTTACTTTGAAAATGGTAATACAGTTCAGGGTAAAAAGAAAATAACAATATCTTGGGCACACAGTTCAATTCATTTTCAAGCCAGTATTCCATACCTAATGGACTTATTCACAGCCCATACCTGCTAATAACTTTTTCTCAAAAGTTACTTCTTATCAGAAATTGAGCTTTAAAAAAAATGCATCATCTTACAAACACAGCCATTTAGAAGTATTTAATAGTTATGTGAAATTTGGTTTCATAAGTACAATTTTGTTATGTCCAAGCCCACGTTTTTGACATTTGAAAAATAAGTGTTAGTGTATGAAATATTAATGCTTTGGGGGTCAAACTAGTAAATTTGTGTCCAAATTTTTATCAAAATATTGATATAAACATTAAATGCTTTCTACAACTACTTTAAAGCCACTTAAGAATAGTATCTTTCTCATTTAAACAAAGCATAAGTTAGATAATGTATAATCATAGTCATGTAAGTTTCTTTGAGATATTAGTCATCTCAAGTATATATGATAGTGATGTCTAGGGCTGCACAAAAGATTCATACCAGCCAGTTAAGTATTTTGTTGTTTAGAATTCCATTTAAAAGGAAACAATATTTACACTTTCTTCCTGTAAGTGCCCTAGGAAGATTATTACAAGGACATTGTTTGTGACAGTGTTATTACTGTTCCAGTTGGGATTATTCTGCTAGTTGGAGAAATTCACATTTGTCAAATGTGTTACCTTTTTAAATGCAAAAAAACCCAACTCCCTTGGCATATTTAGCTTCACTATTGACATGTTCTTGGGTGGAGCATAGCAGCCAACTGGCATATGGCCTGTTTGCTTCAAGTGTGGGAAAGAAAAAGGAATTTGGCAAGAGATATCTAAGGAGAGCCTTTTATAAAAGTTCCCATAGGGATTTATAGTCACTGTGAAATTGACATGACCTCAATTTTTAAAATAATCTCATTTTGAACCGAGCACAGAGAAGTGGGAGCTATTGCTTACTAGGTTTCATTGCAGCTATGCTAAAAGGCATTTTTTCTTAGTGGTTTTATTTGGTTTTGCCCCTGTCAGACTGTCATTCTGATAATGTAAGACAGCCCTGTAAATAGCTTCATGTGCCTTATTTTCTAGAAAAATGCAACATGGCAGCAGCAATGGAAACAGAACAGCTGGGTGTTGAGATATTTGAGACTGCAGAGTGTGAGGAGAATATTGAATCACAGGATCAGCCTAAACTGGAGCCGTTTTATGTTGAGCGATATTCCTGGAGTCAGCTTAAAAAGCTGCTTGCTGATACCAGAAAATATCATGGCTACATGATGGCTAAGGCACCACATGATTTTATGTTTGTGAAGAGGAATGATCCAGATGGGCCTCATTCAGATAGGATCTATTATCTTGGTAAGTATAGAGTTGTAGTTTCTGAGTATATTATAAAAGTGTAAAATATACTTTTATTTGAAACACCAAAGTCTGTATTAATGATTACAATCATAGAATTTTTTATAATGAAGAAAAGCTAGAATTGGTAGATCTGTGTTTATTTCCAAATAGATAATTCAGAAAAAAGAAATTTAGTAATCAGGAGTTGTCACAGTGGAATCCCGTGAGTCTATTGCCAACTTTTAACAAACTAATTTTTTTTAAATTTAAAAATGGTATTGTCTTAACTCTCCTAATATCATTTTATATGCTTTGATGATATTTTGTTAGAGGGGAATTAAGACCTGAATATCAAAATGAAACTTAAGCATTTTTCTGTGAAACTTCATTTTTATTGAAGAAAATTTCTAAGGCATATGGCACTTGCATATCCTACATATTAATATTTATTTTAGGTCCCACAGACTGTAAAGTATTGCAGTGTATAGAAGGCTTCATATGCTGTACTGTGATTGTAGTGAGAATGCTATTTGAAAACATAATAATAAATGATTTTTTTTTTCCTTAGCCATGTCTGGTGAAAACAGAGAAAATACACTATTTTATTCTGAAATTCCTAAAACTATCAACAGAGCAGCAGTCTTAATGTTGTCTTGGAAGCCTCTTTTGGATCTTTTTCAGGTAGAAACTAAATATTGTTATTCCTATGATTTGATGTATATTTCAGATCCACATTTATTTAGAGGCAGAAATTCAATTGGGTTTATATTTGAAGTAGATATGAGTCAAAAATAATTAAAACATTTCAGCATTTTTACATGTGTGACCTTAAGTTCCATTCAATTTTTAACATCTAACTAAGAAAAATTACAATTCAGTTTTTAACTACCTTTCCCTTCCATAAACTTTCTAGTAATTCTCACATCTAGAGGAAGGAAATTGACATTAAAGAACAAATATAAGCGGGCATGGTGGTATACACTTTCAATCCCAGATAGTTAGGAGGCTGAGGCAGGAGAATTGCAGGTTAGGAGTCAGCCTGGGCAATATAGTGAGACTTTGTCCAAAAAAGGTAAATGGGGAAGATGTAGCTCTGATTTAGTGGTAGAGCACTTGCCTAGTAGGTATGAGGCCCTGGGTTCAATCTCCAGTACAAAACAAAGCAAAACAAAAAAATCTAACATATATTTCTAGAAAGATTTTTTAAAAATATTTTTTGTTGTAGATGGACACACATCTTTATTTTATTTATTTATTTTTATGTGCCACTGAGGATTGAACCCAGTGCCTCACACATGCTAGGCAAGTACTCCACCACTGAGCTACAGCCCCAGCCCTCTAGGAAGATTTTTATTTAAATCTTTAAATTTGTAGTTCTAGTGCTTAGTAACAGCAGTAACTTAAAGATACTAAGTTCAATTTTTGCTTCTTTCAGTTTTTGCTTCTAAGTAATTTATGTAAAATCAAAGCTTTAGGGTTTTTGTTTTTGTTTATTTTTTTTCCTCAGTAGTTTACCTTTAGACAAAAGTGAATAATTGAAAATATGCCAGTGACAAAATAATGATTTAGGTGCCAATGTTTCCCTTTTTTGTTTTCATTTACTATTTTCATGTTGAATATTTCCTTACTGAATAGCATGTTTGGGCTAAAATGAACTAAGATGTGATATTTTTCAAAATAATTTTTAAAAAACAACTTCTATGATAGCTCATTATTTTGATTGGCAGCTATTTATCTCAAGTATTCTTTTGTATAGGCTTGTGACTTTTCTTTAAAACAAAAAATTCCTTGGGACTAAGATTATAGCTCAGTGGTAGAGCACTTGGTATTTGTTCTATGTATATTTGAAAAGAATGTTTTGTTGTTTTGGGTAGAGTGCTGTATTAATGCCCAGTAGACCAACTTGATTGTGTTGTTCATGTCTTCTGTGTTCTCACTGATTTTCTTATCTGTTCTATCAGTTATTGAGAGAGGAATATTAAAATCTCACACTATAGGGCTGGGGTTGTGGCTCAGTGGTAGAGCACTTTCCTAACAGGTGTGAGGTATTGAGTTCAATCCTCAGCATTGCATATAAATAAATAAATAAATAAATAAAATAAAGATCCATCAACACCTAATAAAATATATTTTTAAAAAATCTCCAACCATAATTATAGATTTGACTATTTTTTTAAAATATTTATTTTTTAGTTTTAGGTAGATAAAATATCTTTATTACATTTTTTTTTAAAGAGAGAGGGAGAGAGAGAATTTTAATATTTATTTTTTAGTTTTTGGCGGACACAACATCTTTGTTTTGTATGTGGTGCTGAGGATCGAACCCGGGCCGCATGCATGCCAGGCGAGCGCGCTACTGCTTGAGCCACATCCCCAGCCCTCTTTATTACATTTTTATGTGGGGCTAAGGATTGAACCCAGTGCCTCACACATTCTACCACTGAGCCACAACCCCAGCCCCAACTATTTATTTCTTTAGTTCTATCATATTAGTTTTTGCTTTATGTATATTGAAGCTATGTTACTAGGAGCATAAGTAGATAGGATTATTATGCCCTGATTTATTGAACTCCTTTTTGTTATGAAATGACCTTTGTGTCTGGTAATATTTTTTGCTCTGAAATTTTCTTTAATATTAAGATAGCCACCACAGTTTTCTTTTGATTTGTTCAAATATGAAATGCTTTTTCATTTTTTATTTTTAACAGCTTTATAGAAATGTAATTCATATACCATGCAATTCACCCATTTAAAGTGTACAATTCAATGTTGTTTAATATATTGACAGAGTTGTGCAGCTATTTTCACAGCCTAATTTTAGAACACTTTCCTCATCCAAAAGAAATCAGTTTTAGTTAGCTTTTTATCACTGTGGCCAAAATACCCAACAAGAAGAACTTAAAGGAGGAAAAGTTTATTTGGGGCTTATAATTTCAGAGCTCTTGGTCCATAGACAGCTGACTGCATTAGTTGGGCACAAGGTAAGGCAGCACATCATGGAGGAAAGGCCCAGTGGAGGAAAACTTCTCAGCCTATGGCAGGGTCAGGAACTAGAGAGGGAGAAGAAACTGCAGGGAAGGTGCATTCTTTTAGGGCATGCCTCAAGTGACCCACCTCCTCCAGCCACACCCCCACTCCTTATAGTTACCAACTCCAGCACATTCAAACCAAGATGGACTGATTATAGGTCACAGCTGTCATAATTCAGTTCACCTCCAAAACGTTCCTACATTATTACAGGAGCTTTTGGGGGGAGGCATCTCATATTTAAACAATAATATTCTGCCCTCATCCCCAAAAGCTCATGTCCATTTCACAGAGCAAAATGCATTTAGTTCATCTTGATTCTCTGTCCAAAAGTCCAAGTCCAAAGTCTCCTCTGAGACTCAAGACAAAGTCTCCTCTGAGACTCAAGACAAACTCTTGCTGTAAGCCCCTATAAAAATTGAAAGCAAGTTACACACAACTAATATACAGTGTCACAGTGTAAAGGTGAGGTCACAATATTTGAGTAAATATTCCCATTCCAAAAGGAAGGAATAGGGACAAAAAAGATGGGATGGGGGCTGGGCGTGCTGGTGCCCACCTATAATCCCAGTGGCTTGGGAGGGTGAGGCAGGAGAATCTTGAGTTCAAAGCCAGCCTCAGCAACTTAGTGAGGCCCTAAGCAACTTAGTGATTAAGTGCCCGTGGATTCAATTCCGGGTACCAAAAAAAAAAAAAAAAAAAAAGACCAGAAACCTAGCCAAGCAAACAGGTCCATATATAGAATGTAGGATACATGGCTTCCAGATGTGAAAATATCCCTATTTCCAAAGGCCCTGGGCAGCTCTACCCCTTTGGACTTAACCAGTTGTAGTGCACAAGGGCTCCTTTTTAGCCTGGTTGGCCTCCCCAACCATCACCCTCTCACGCATCACCCTGTCAGCAGCAGCCTATAGGGATTTTGGCCTCACATTTACAACTTCACATTACCCTCTTAAGAACAGCCCACAAGGACTCCAACACTGCTATACTTTGCCTGGGATGTGAGGCCTTCCTTTCAAATCTTGGTAGAAACCTCCATGACTGCTTAGAGCATCCTGCATTCCTGCAGAACCAGCACCACATTGATGATGCCAAGGTCTGCCACCAGATCACACAGTATCTGGGACCCCTGGTATCATGGCTGCAGGTACCTCTGAGTACCTGCATGGTTCAGCATGGTGAAACAACTTCCTAGGCCCTCCTGTGCAAGCAGTAGGGCAAAAGGATGATCTCTTATCAAAGGAATTTGTACTTTTACACCCAGGAGCCTAAGGTGGGTGTGGTCTTGCTAGTTCCTAAAATGCTCTTGAGGCATCTTTTCTGTTGTCTCTGTGCAAAGTACTTAGTGTGTCTTTAAGGTCTGTAATCTCTTCAACAAGCATACATTCCTTGGCCTCAGCTTTACAAACACTTTTTTTTGCCAGACTTCAAGTTTTTAAAATTCTTAAATTCTGTTTTCTATTGACATCTGGCTAAAAGCTGCCAATAATATTCATGCCACTGACAAGATGCTATGGTGCCTTGAAATTTCCTCTGCCAGATTAATTAGTCCATCACTTTAAATTCAGCCCCATGTAAAGTCTCATGATATGGGCAAAATGTAGCCAAGTTCTTTGCCAGAATATAACACTAGTAGCCTCTAGTTCAATTCACAATAGAGTCCTCATTCCCTCTGAAACCTCATGAACACAGTGTGCATTTCTGTTGCCAGTCTGGTCTTCCAAGCCCCCACCAAAATCACTAATTAAACTCTTACATACAGCATTCTAAAACTTTTCTAGCCTGCATCTTCAAACTTTTCAAAATTCCTTTCACAAACCATTTCCAAAGGTTTCTAAACCACATAGTCAAGTTAGTTACAGCAACAAACCCATTACCAGTACTAACTTATCCTTTTTTAAAAAAAATATATGTATGTAAATATATATATATAATTTATAGTTGGACACAATACCTTTATTTTATTTATTTACATTAATGTGGTGCTGGGGATCGAACCCAGAGCCTCACACATGCTAGGCGAACGTTCTACCACTGAGCCACAACCCCAGGCCCCTAATTTCTGTTTTAGCTTTTTTGTTGCTATGACCAAAATACCCAACAAGAGGAGGAAAAGTTTATTTGGGGCTCACAATTTCAGAGGTTTTAGTGCAGAGACAGCCCACTCTATTGCTTTGTGCATGAGGTGAGATAGCACCTGGAGGAGGGATTCAATGGAGGAAAACTGCTCAGCTCATGGCAGGGTCAGGAAACAGAGAGTGAGGAAGGGGCCTTAGGGAAAATGCATCCTTCCAGGGCACATCCCCAGTGACTACCTCCTCCAGCCATGCCCCACCTGCCTACAGTTACCATCCAATCCATTCAAACTAGGTTGGACTGATTAGGTTACAGCTCTCAGAATCCAATCATTTCACCTCTCGACATACCTGCATTAATATAAGAGCTTTTGGGGATACTTCATATCCAAACCAAAATAAAATCCATCAGCAGTCACAATCTTCCACCTCATCATCTCTATTGCCAGGCCCTATTCTCCTTGGAATCTGTTGATTTGCCTATTCTGAACATTTCATATAAATGGGATCATATGATATATAGTCCTTTGTGATTGGTTTCTTTAACATAATATTATCTAGATCTATCCATGTGGAAGC